CAGGCGGCACTGCGGTGGAGGAAGGGGCAGAGGCAGTGAGAAGCATCGGGGCAGTGACGGCCTCCTGCCGGCACCAGAAGCTGCGGCGAGTCGCGTGTCCTCTCCTCTGCGTCCTGACCCATCTCTGCCACCCCTCTCCAGATTACCCCTCTGAGACTTCCAAGAAGTTTTTTGGGAGTCTCACTCCACGTGTATTTACAGTAATAATACTTCTGATGTTGTCTGAGGCCCCCTGTCATCCCAGTTACACACTGAGTGGTTACTGGGAGGCGCTGAATCACGAGACAACACAAAAGGCATATTGCAGCTATGGCTATGACGGTCACGGACAATTCTTTAGGCCATTTCAAACTGGGTGACCAGGAGGTAAGCCAGTCCCACCAGGATGAACCTTTGGCCTTTTCCCACTCTAGCTCAGCCCTTTCGATTGATGATATTCCTGATTGTTGGATTTTAAACGCATCTTCAATGGATGTGCAACACTCCTTTCCAATTATAGCACAGGTCCCCCTTGGCTTGCTAATATGTAGTCTAAGGCCATTCTGCTCTGCAGGGCTGTCATCCTGACCTGTAATAATTCAAACGAGGTGCTCTTCAGTACCTTGATCGCAGCGTTGGCTAATTGTTCTGCCAGGGTGCTCCATTTGTTTGTGTATGTCTTGTATTTTCCTGCAGCACACGTGGGGCACGTCATATAAAAGAACCCGGCTCCCTCACTAATCACCGGGCGATCCTTTGTATCTGTCGTGCTTTTATTTCTGGGAAGTCCCTTCAGTGAAGTCAAGACTCGAGAAGGTGGGGCTGACACTCCCATGTAACGGGAGCCGTACCAGCCTGGGGAAAGCCGGTCATACGCATTATCTCCACCTCGCCAATAAGATCCAGGCCAGGCTCCGAAAGCTACTGCTCTCTTTCTCCGCAAGGGAAATACAAACCCATCCATTTCTATAGTCTTACCATTCCCAAATATTCCCCTCACTGTAGCATTTTTGTACATAGTGATATTGTACTTGCAGGTACTCTCCCCAGTGTTCCACAGGTTTCCAGCCCCACAGGGGGCCAGTGGCCTTACACCCGGTGTTGAACTCAGCATTATTGATCACATTTTCTTTGGTCGCCTGGTAACAAAGGACTCCTGGTTGACTGTGTCCTCCAACAGTTAGAGGTCGGGGCTCCGGAACATGTAAGGGTTAAGGAGTATATAAGGGATGAGGAATGTTAGAGTAATCAGTCATCAGAGTCAGGTTTAGGATTATGTGGTCACTCCGTGTATTACACAGCGTGTTGTTCATAACCCACTTGATTTCTCTTAATCAAAATCCTAAACATAATTCTGGCCAGCCGAAGGGAATAACCCTCCAAGAAAATCCCACCCCCCTGTCATTATTCGTGAGCAAATCCAACAATCAGTCACATTGACAGTCTTTGCAAGGCTAATAGGATGTGACTGGCCTCACAGCGCCAGGAGCTCACCGTCACTGAGGCCGGCGGAGCACAGGAGCGCTTGGGCGTTGCTTTGGCCGGGAAGACGGTGGAGGTAACGTCAGGGTCCGGCGGGCACAGGCAGGGGGCTCTGGGGGTGCTCGGAAGAACAGGGGGCACGGTGGAGGGACTTGGTGCTGACACAAGGACAGCCCCACAGGGCTGGTGCGGCAAGACACGGTGTTCATGTGTGGGGTGGGACTGCGTTGCTTTCCCCGGTGGGACTCATCCGCGCAGGTCCTCCTTCAGCTCCCTGCGCAGATCCTTTGCCCCAGCACACTCCTGGCCATCCCACCCTGCATGTCCCCGGGGCTGCCCAGGTTCCTGTGGGGTCCGGCTGCCTCCCTGGGAGAGGGATGCTGTCTCTGCCCGTTGCTGCCTGTCCCAAGGTTATGACCTACTCATAAACCCGTGGAGACAGAGGTGCTGGCCCCACGGAGCTGCCTTTGCCTGGTGGCCTCTTGGAAGGACAGAGCGGTGCTGCTGCTCCCCGCCAGCCTCCACATCTGGGGCACTGATTGCTTTTATTGGTGTCCAGCCCCGGCTCTGCGTTCCGCAGAATCCCTAAGCCCGACCCACCACCGCCATCAGCAGATGCCCACCTCTGCCCTACCCCAAGCAGCGCCCCCAGCGCAAAGCTCTCTCAGACACCGTCCTGCCAAGGGAATGATAACGTCCCAGAGCAATGTTCCAGCATCCCCAGCTCTACCTTGGGGGAGTTTTCCAGACAGGACCTTCTTCTCCCGTGGGTGCCCAGCAAACCTGGCGAACGCTCACGTGCCCATCCAGGTGTCCCAGGAGAAGCTCTGGGATGAAATCTGGCCGGGCGAACACATGCAACACGCTGCCGTACCAGGCGAGGCAGCGGAGCTGAGCCTGGGACAAGCTGTGGAGGTGGCTGCAGGATGCTGAGATGGATGGGAAGCGGCACCAGGTGCAGGTGCAGGTACCCAGGACCCCTTCCTGGGGTGACAGCACCCATGGGGGGCTTTAATCCAACCCCTGTACCCCCCAGGTGGGTGCTGGGCTCGGCACACAGGGTCACCCTGTGCCCCCCCTACCATCTCTGCCCCAGGTGGTTTGCCAGGTGGAGAACAGCATCGAGAAGATGCAGATGAAAGTCCACACTGGACAGAAGGTCACCACCCTGTACCTGGCAGTGCGGGATGCCCTGAGGAAGGTGAGCTCCTCCTCACCGTGCCATTGTCCCAGCCGCTCCCCCTGCAAGGGCTTGGAGGTGCCCGAGGGGCTGTGCTGGTGGGACACCCTCCTGGATCAGTGAGGTCCTCCTGCTCCCCTCCGTCCACTGTCACAGTGTAGGGGACCCCTGGGGCTCAGTGGGGTGATACGCTGTGTCCCAGGAGCTGGCCCACCTGCCTCCGCACCTGACCTCCTGTGCAGGATGGCTGAGCTGTACCATGGGGAGCTGGAAGAAATGGGGCTTATGGCCTTCGATGCTCTCAAAGCTGCTGATGTGACCAAGGTGAGATGGCCCGAGGCACCTTGGGGCCCTTTCCCACCCTCCAGAGACCACAGGCGGCACCACATGCCTGGGCTGGTGAGTCTTCCTGCAATAAAGAGCAAAAGAGACTGAGCTGGCCTTGCCCACAGCACCCAGGTGCCTCCACAGCTCTTCCTGGCTCTTGCTCTTAGGCCAGGCTGCCCTGGGGCTGGGGACAGCCTGCCTGAAGCACCACCCATGGTGAAGGCAGCATGCCCCATCCTCTAGCCCTCTTTGCCCAGTTTCCTTCCCAGCCTCTTTACATGAGGAACACAGGGTTTCATGTTTAACACTGGCCATCCCAGAAGTTCAGCTGGCTCACACAGGTCCCTTCCAGCTTCAGCAGCCACTTCTCGCTTCTCTGATATGCTCCAGGAGGACATGGCCAAGATGAAAACCCAGTTCCTTGCAGAGAGAGAGCTCAGGTACTGCTCCCTGGCCGCCCAGAAGGTGCACAGTGACAGGCTTTGGATCAAGGAAGCAAGTGAAAGGCATCTGAGAGAGGTGAGCTGGGGGGCCCAGCGCAGGCAGGGCTGTGGGCAGGTGGCAGCATCAATGCTGAGTCCCCCACGGGTGGGGGGGCTGTGCAGGGCCAGCTCCCCAGGGTGCCAGCAGCTCAGGGGGGTGACGATGAACGTCCCTGCAGCAAGCCAGGTACGAGCTCGCTATGGACTTCCTGACCCTGCACCCACAGGACCTGCTGGTAGGTGAGTGCCTGGTGGGGTGAAGAGGGGTGGGACGCGGGTGCAGCCACAGGCATACTTCCCTGCCGCTTCCCTCCCACCCCAGGCACCAAACTGGAGGCCACCAAGTCCCAGGCAGAGTGCGAGGCCCGGGTGACCGAGAAGATGGAGAAGGCCAAGGTGGTGGTGCAGTGCTCCTGCCTCCAGGTAACATAAGAACCCATCTCCCATAAAACGGGGGGCTGCTCGAGCCCCAGGGAGCCAAGACCTCTCTGCTCGCCTTGTTTCTTTGCGGGGTTATCTGCTCTCCTCCACCCCTGGAGCCCTCCAAAGGCCTTCTTGTGCAGGCAGAGGTGGAACTGCTTTTCTCCATGACGTGAGCTTGCAGCAGTTTGTGTTGCAGACACCTTCCCAAGGCCCAGATACTGTACCCTGCAGGAGTGCCATGGGCTGAGTCCTTGTGCTCTCCCCCGGCCAGGACATCCTGGTGCAGCAGAAGTCCTCGGTGGACCTGGAGCAGTATGTCAAGGAATGTGAGGAGAAGAAGCAGGCACTGAAGGAGGTGCTGAAGGAGCTAGAGTTGAAGCAGGCTGAGCTGACGTTTCTCCAGCCCCCCAACACAACCAGGTGCTGCTGGCCTCAGGACAGTCATGTCAACCAGGCCACCACCCTTGTGCAGGGACATGTGCATCATGGGTGTCCCAACAGGGCACCTCTTCCTCTGTCCCACTGCAGCTGCCCACTTCTCCTGTGTTTTCTGGGCAGGGTGGTCCCCCAGCTCTGGTCCTGGCAGAGCACCCAAAGCTCCCGCATGGCAGCAGGAGGACCCTTGCTCCTTGCCCGGTGTGGGAAGCAGTACCAGCAGCAGGGAGTTGGGTTGCAGGCAGCATCTCTGCTCTGCAGTTGTGGGGGTGATGGGCACAACCTGAGCAGCTTTTGTGACAGATCTGGGGTGTCTCTGCACCCCTAGGCGGTTGTAAGGATGTGAATATGGTCGGCTCCAGGATGCGGGAGAAGGAGCTGAGGATGAACCTGCAGTGGGAAGGGGCACAGCTGGAGCAGGTGCGAGCCCAGGTGCTGAGGAATCACGAGCTCCTGCTCCAGTTTGAAATCTGTGTTGACAACCTCTTCGTCCATCTGCATGGCATCACTGGCCAGCTGCCTGGGTGGCGCTGAGGTGAGCATGGCCCCAGCTGGTGCTTGGTGGTGCAACGGCACAGCGCGGTGACAGTTGGTGCAGCCACCATCACCCCAAGGGGCTCATTTTCCCCACCAAATTTGTTCTCTCTGTTACTCCAGGATGATTCTGTCAAGGCCAGGGGGGTGGAGAAGCTCCAACAGTGCCAGCAGAAGCTGTAGTAGCTGGTGCAGTGGGTGGCCAAAAAAAAACCGCTCCCCCCCCCCCCCCCCCGGCACAGCCTTGACGAGGACAATGAGGTGCTCAGGGGCTCCCAGATGGCCCATCCCAAACCATCCTCCCAGCTGGGAGGATGGAGGTGGCCCCAGGGAAAAGCCATGGAGCAGCTCAGCTGCAGGTGACACCGGGCACTGCGAGGTATCCCGTTCAGGGGGACGTCGAGGTGGGGCACCCGTTGGGCTGTAACACCCACCTCCCTTTCAGCAGTTAACCCAGGGTATCTCACAGGCTTTTTTGATGGTCAGAAATTTTCAGGAGGAAACAACTGCAAATGAGCTGCAGAACCTGAAGATTTCCTTGGAGGACATAGGCAGTAGGGTGGAAGATAGGAGAACACAGCAACTGTCCCAGCCCCTGCCAGCTGCGACTTCGGGGCATCCTTGCCTGTCTCCTACTGTCCCAGCAGACCCCAACCCGTGAGTTGCTTCCAGACCTTGAGGCTGACCTTGGCTGTCTCCAAGGCTTTGAGCATGGGTGGTGGTTTTAGGTGAGGATGTGGGAGAACAAAGACAGCTGGTGGGGTGGTGAGTGTCAAACCACAGCAGGAACAAGGAGAGATGCTGTGGGGCAAGGAGGGAGAGCCTTGTCTTTAAAATCACAATGAGCTTTTGGCAGGTTATCACCTATTTTAATAAAGTGGGAGCTGTACCCACCACCCTGTAGCTCTGGACCTTTACGGGAAGCCCAAGCAGTGTTGAAGATGGGCCACAGCAGTGGCACCACCAGGTCCTGCAGATCACCCTGGGATGCTGCGGTGGAAGAACCAGCCAGTAGCGCCTGTGCCCAAGGGCTTGGCACAAGGGCTCTCTGGGATGCCACCAGCCCTCAAAAACATGCCAGTTCTCGTCAGGGACATGGGCACAGTGGAGGTGGCCCTGCAGACCTTCCCCAGCCTGTTCCTCTCCACTTTCTTCTCAAGAACCCTTTGACTTTGCTGATAAAGATCATGGCCTTGTCCTCACCTGGGAAGACATCAAGAAGTGGGGGGCTGCTCCTGATCGAAAGCAAGGAGAAAAGTGGCAACAAGAAGTAGTGGTTCCTCCACAAGAGCTTTGGCTGCCCCAGGCTGCCTGTTAATGCTTTAGCTACCCTGGACCACCCGTTGTACCCTTTTTCCAGCTGTGTTGGTAGAGCAGATCTCTTTCGTTCCTCCCAAGCCTGTGGTAAATCTGGAACTGGGGGTCCTAGATCTCTTCTGTCACCCAGAACACATGGGGGTCAAAGCCTGAGGGGCGCTGAGCTGGGTTCGCAGGCAGGCCCATGCCCCTGACCCTCACCCAGTTGCTTTCCCCACAGAGGTGGGGATGGGCTGGGGTGGGGACAGCTTTCCTGGCCAGAGCAAAGCTGTGGGCAGGCTGGCTTTCTCCCCCTTGGTTGTGTGGGGCCAGCACTTTCTTGGGATCTCTGCCACCCCCAGACAGCTCTAGGACCCCAGTGGTCTGGCATCTGTCTGAGGCAGCTGTGGGGAAATGTGGGGCAGGGGCTGAGATCTGTGTCGGTGTCAGACCTCAGGGTGGGTGTCTTCATGTCCGTGCACAGGAGCAGAAGGGCAGACCCTGCTTTGGGAAGGAAGAGACAAATCTGAGATGAAGCCCCTAGTCTGAGGCTGTCTGACCTCTGGGTACCCTTCGTGCCTCTTCCTTCCCCTCCTCCCTGCACACACATTGTGCAACTTGCACTGCTAACCCTGAACTCTGCGCAGACGTCAGGCGTTGCCTTTGGGCTGCAGGGAGGTGCCTGGAGGGAAGATCTAACCCGACGTGACCTAGGACAGCAGAGGATGCTACACTGAGCCTGTGGCTCCAGGATGGGATCCCCAGCCCTGCTGATGGCTCACAGGCACCCAGCCATGGAGGCCACGTTGTCTTCTCTGCAAAGGCACTCGTAAAACAACGCTGCAGAGATGGCGCTGGTTCCCCAGGTACAGCCAACGCGGAGGCCTTCTGCCAGGGACCTGTAGTCCCAGCTGGAGACCCCTGAGAGCGGCACCTCCTCCACTTCCACAGGGGGACATCAGCACCAGACCAAGCTTTCACTGTCACTTCTACTTGGTCCCTGTACTTATGCTGACATCGCTTGTGACATCCTCATTGCGGGGAAGGAATCTGCCAAGCCTCTCAGCAGGCTGGCAGAAACCCTTCTTGCCTTCCGCCGCCGTTACTGCCGAAGGCTCGACGGGAGCTCCTGTGTCGATGTCTGCAGCCCGGGACAGCGCTGGCAAGAAACTTCAAATAGGACCTTGGAGAATTTGCATCGGAGTGTTCGCCACGTGGGAACATCTCTGCCTTGGGAAGGCTGGGTTTGAGGGGTCTGTTTTTATTTCTAAAGCTGAGATCAAAATCACATGGAATGAAGCAGAATGAAGGGTAGGCACAGGCTGGGACTGTCAGCAAAGCCTCAGCACTGGGTTTTATCCTCTGGGGAGGGGGGAAGCAGGCTCAATCAGCCACTTTGGGGCCAAAAGAAGAGGCTCTGTTGACCGTTCTGGGAAGGGAGATGCAGGCAGGGCCACCAGAGTGGGGCTGTCTTGGAGTGCTGGGAGCTGCCAGGGTAGGATGTGGGAGGAGGCAGGTTCATGCATCCCAGCCTCTGAGGCGAGAGCTGCTTCCACACAAGGGAGCACCATCCTTCTCCATTTCCGTGTTGATGTTAAGAGGGTTAATATTCGTGATGGTGATGTCTGGCCCAGTAAATAGCCTGGATTGGCATCACTAGCCAATGGGTTCAGCATCTTTGTACAATGAAGGAGGGAGCAAGGTGGGACTGAGGCAGCGCTGCTAAAGGAGGGAAAGACCCCATGGGGGTGGTGTCCTGCCCTGGCCTCGACCCAAGGCAAGGGGAGAAGGTGCAGCAGATGAGGGATGGGGCTGGCAGCTCCCCACAAGGCAGCTTTTCTCCACAGCAGAGGTGTTTCAGCCCTCAGACCATTTTGATGGTCTGTCTTGTGCTGCAGACCCCAGAGCTGGACGTGGTGCTCCAGGGGGGGTCACAGGAGAGTGGAGCAGACGGGGAGCATCCCCTCCCTCCACCTGTTGGCCACACTGCCAAGGACACACTTGACTTCTGGGCTGCAAGCCCACATTGCCTTCTCATGTCCTATTTGTAACCCACCAGTATTCCCCAGTCCTTCTCTGCAGAGCTGATCTCCATCCATCCATCCATCCATCCATGCATCCATCCATCACCCAGTCTGTGCTGGTACTGAGGATCACCCTGACCCAGGTGCAGGACTTTGCAGTTGGCCTGGTTGAACTTCAGGATGTTCCCATGGACCCACTCCTCCAGCCTGTCCAGGTCCTTCTGGACACCATCCCTTCCCTCCAGTGTATCAACCACTCAGCTTGGTGGAAAACCAAAACTGGTGTGTTTGGGTGATGCAGAGACCAGAGAAACGCGTAGCCTGGCCTTAGCTCTCTGCCAAGGACATCTGGGGAACCCTTTTGAAATGCTTTAGCCACTTTCTCAGAGAAAAACAACACAACCGTACACTCGACAGGCTTTTCCCATCCACATGGGGATAAATGAGAATGCAGGGACAGCGCCAGCTCTCACTCAGAAGGCCAGAATGGGGGGCACAGAAGCCTAGGGAGGGTCTTAGAGGCGGCAAGCAGAGGGGTCTGGAGAGGATCCAGGTGTATATGGGGAGGGGGAGGGGGCTGGGAGGGTGCAGGAGGTGTCACCCAGGGGGTGTGAGTGAGCATGGAGGGGAGCAGAGCCGAGATGAAGGTGCTCGGTGTGGGGGTAGAGGTGCTCGGGCACAGGGAGCAGGGGGGACCAGATGGGAGCAAAGCCCTGCAGATGGGAACAGAGCTGGCTGGGGAATGGGGGTACGGAGGGCTAGAGGGGACCCAGGTGGGGCCAGGCAGGGATATGGGGG